AAAAACAGAAAAAGCATTGTTCATTTGTTTCGCCATTCAAAAAAATTCTAAAACAATCGCGGAGTAGCGACGAAAGAAATTTGGATGGCTGTTTTGAAGGGGAAATTGCAGTGCTTTTAGCGCGTCGTCCCTGTTTCAATTTGAACCGTCGTGATATCAATGGAAATTACATTATTCATCGGCCGGAGGAGTGTATTTTCGGAGTTCGTCACTTTATCTATTAAGCGAAAACATACCATTATTCTCGTTCGACGGAACGTTCATCAAAGAACAAACCCCCTCGCGACCCCTGCTGCGCGAGTTTGCGTTCGATATAATTATTCCGTACGAAATTTACATTTCAATTACGCCGCGCATTTATTTTCGCCCGAGCAACTCGAGAAACCGACCGTGTCACAAGAGACGCGGCAAAGCGCTATCGGTACTCTGTTTCGAACGGAACAATTGCGTTAAGATGCAGGCGCGAATTCGCGTTCCTCGTTTCTACCAAGCAACGACAACTTTATACGGTCTTGGTAAATATCACAATTGGGACACGCTTCGTTGGCCTTCCTCTTGCGGTTGATCATTGATAAACGCCGTAGAAGACGTTATTATTTCAAATAACGTTTAATTTTATTTCATAATTACTTCGAGACCTGTGATCACGTTTGAAATAACAGTATTTGAATTAACATATTATTTTATTTTCTAATTATTTGAAATGATTCTTAGAAATAATTGTGAAATTGTTTTTTCGAAATTGTACCAGGTGACTAGGTCTCACTTTGATTTATTGACTTTCTGCTGAAGAGAAACACCCCTCTTCCATATTTCAGGCCAGTGGTACGATTATTTTATTTCGCGACAATATTCGATGGACCCAAGAAAAAATCTTCCAAGGATGAGCTTTTTCAAGAGCGAGTTCTGCTTTACACAAGTTACTGTAAAGGTTTCTTAAAATAAAATGTTATTGTTGCATATTATTTTAAGTATGATTTCTTTTGCAAACATTGAATTGCAAAAATAACAGAAACAGGACAATTATTATGCGACAACCTGATACATACTGCAAACAGCTTCCAAAGAATATCTGTTCGCAAGAATTTTTTCTTCCTATGAGGTAAACCAGTGTTCACACGTGAAGATTAGAAAATTCGTTCGAAGGAGGGAGGGATAAGAAGTAGCCGATAACGAGCCCGGAGGAAAAAGAACGTCGCGGTGAAAAGTCGCCGTTAATGAGAAATAATGCCTGGGATCCTTATTAGTGTTTTCTCATTAACCTTTATTAGCACGGAGAGCGCCAACAGCAACGCTTTACCCCGTTCCGGCTACGTGACCGTATTAAAGGTAAAAATATGAAAAAAGGTATTACGTTATAGCCGAATTACGTTCACAGTAGGAAAACTCTTCTAGGCAGCGGCTTAAACGGGAATTATTGATGCCCCGTCTGTCGCGTGACACGGTAGAACGGCGAAATATAAGCGTGAGCGTGTATTGATTCGTTCGTGGGAAGAGTTTAAAGGCTCTGCAATTGTTACGAGGGTATGCACGAGAAAATGTGTGGTCAACAGTTAGGATTGCTATAGTAGTTGGTGGTGATCGATATCATTACATTATACGAAACAAAGAAAAACTGTTAACCGAGGTAAGCATCGGTCATGAAAACAATTTATTGGAACATAATCCACCATTGTTCACGTAAAGATGTTTTTATAAATTATTCAAAATGTCCTCCTTTTGCTTTTATACAAGCTCTTAATATTTGTGGCCATTCGTCCATATGTGACAGAACTTAACAACCGACTATGTAAATTCTTCGCAACTTTTGTTGCAATGAACGTGTGTATAAGGGAAGAAATTCATTAATTTTTTTGATTGCATATTTTTAACGAGCTGTTCGTTCTACCAACGTGATAGAAACAGTTTATCTTCGGTAGTCTTTCATTTTCATTCGGTTAATTCAATTGTTTGCAGTAGGCCTCTATTTTTATATTGCGATTGGGACTTCCGAGACCATCGATTAATTACATCGCAGAAATCACGAACTGGTAAATGTTTGACCGTGGGTTCCGGTGTAATTCGCGAGGAAATCAGTAAATTGATTGCAGGTGGGTAAATATTGCGCGTGTACTGCCTTCAGGTGGATAAATTCCGAACTTTCGGTAGCGAACCGGTCCGCAAATATTTTCACTTCCCCGGCGCGGTTCAGTACTTATATGGCGGTACCGTGCTCTTGTTTACACACCATTATTGCAGCGTGGAAGCGTCTTTGCGATCTCTTTGCGGCTGAAAACTGTGCGCGATCGTTACGGAGGCGACTGGGCTGACACAAACAATTTTGATCCTTCGCACAAAACTTTTGAATGTCGACAAAATACCATGCATAGTGATTTAATAGTAAATAGTTTAAACAGAGAATGCAATGGAGTCTTTTGTAGAATAGACGATTGCAAGAGTATTCTACGTTAGCCACTAGAGTGAATAATTATTTATACCATATTTTAAAAAAATGGTTCTTAAATGTCATATACATTAGCTTACTCCTTATAAAATGTATCGTAAAATTAGTTCTAATACCCAACTCGACGATTCATTTCAATAAAAATTCTTCGTGTGATACAAAATGTTGTACTGAACATGCTGTCTTGTAATACCTAATCACATTCTGCGATTATTATAATTTCATACCTTTTATAATTTATCTTAACCAAAGAATCCCGTCTAACTCGAACATAGATAGCCGTAAAACACGAGTTCAGTTTCGCAAAGGACATACCTACCTGTAAAAACTCTTCATACGAAAGAATGAATTTCATTCAAGTGTAAAAAAATACAATCTTCTTGAATGAAAGGAAATGGTCCACGAGAACCTTTAATAATATCCCTCCTTTTTGTTGTATAACGAGAAAAAAGTTTCACTTCGCCGAGAAGCAACTAAACCGCTAACGAACGACTCGGTTCCATTACAAGTTCCCGACCAAAAAGAAACGGAGGGGAATTTTATTAGTAGAGAAACTAGAAGGAGCACTATCTCTCTATTTATCATCGTTAGCGAAACTTTCGAAGGGCCTTTTATTGGGGGGAGGCAGTTTCCGCCGGATTTGCCCGGCGACGAATCGCCGGCACAAGCTCTCGGACTTGCAAGCCCCGTTACGCCGCCGATCGTGAGTAATTACACGACAAAGGAGAGAATTACATAGTCGAGCGAGCGCTTTTTCGGAATCGTTTGTCCGCTCGGTCGCTTCGTGGAGTCAAGGGCCGGAAAGTAATAAACGATCCTTTGGTTTTTTTTTTTTCGTCTCGCGTAACATTCTTTTTTCCGCAAGATACAAAAGACGGGAGGAGGCTGTAATTTTCTTTGTAATCGTGTTTTCTACGAAAATTGGAAGCAATTCTCGTTAAACCATCCTGTTAAATAGGGAAATATTTGTTCAATCCGAGGAAGATTACGGTGCATGCTCAGTAGAATGTTATTAGGGAAATTTAACGGGGATAAATATAATATAATATATATCTACTTTTCTTTTTGTACAATTTTCCCAAAACCCGAAATTTACGCGAGCGAAGCCGTGGAAAAAAATTCTCTTTTACAATTTTTCGATCTCTATTAAATATCGTTGCATTCATTCGAAATTTGTATTAAACTGTGTTACAAATCCTCTCGTTTCCATTAGTAAAATCTACACTGTATTTGCCTACACCGACGTAAGATGTTTCAGATTGCTTTTATTAATACCGTGTGATATTCGTCCGGGCATTTACAAACGAGAATTAATTCCACTATCAAGTTGATTCTCTTGTGTTACAGAGAGTAGACCGTTTCGGAGTGGAATGCCCTGTACTGCACACAGTATCGTGTGATAACAATTATCAAGATCCTTCGTGTAAGCTTGTACCATTCCGAGCGTGGATAAAACATCGAGCGCCGAGCGCAGCCCGGCCGGAATTCAAGTTCAGGAAGTAATCTCGCGTAAGCAAAGCTTTGTTCGACGCCGTGGCTTAACTTGAAATCGGTATCAACCGATCCCAGGTGTTCAATTGGCATCCCGCCAGGATTTAAGCTTGGCTTAAATTTCTCGCCATTGGTCACGTGGAACTGGGGCAGATTCAGATTAGAATTAACTAATTGTTGCGTAGAGGGTTGTAATTAGCCGGGTTTGCCCGCCGCGTACTGCCGTTTAATTAAAATCGTACGGCAATCAATCGGCCGCGGTTGGTTCGCTTTCAAGGCAAAGCTTCCGTAGAGAGTATCAGGGAAAGGTAAAACCTATTATCGAGACTTGTGTACGCTAGTATCGCAACTCCAGGAATTATGTAACTATTAATTTTGACGGCAGCAACATTACAGCAGGTCATCGAACTCGTGAAAAACAAACTGAGACAGATCATAGGTAATCTTGATCATTGAGAAGTCGACAGATATAATAACAATTAACAAAACGTGGTTCACGCGAAGAAGATTTCGACACTTATGACCAAATAAATTGGACAGGTGTCATTTAGGACTGGTCAAACATGATATCGAATATAGAAGATTCAATAGAACTCAAAGAACTATATTCAAATTAGAAGAACACCAAGACTTCTCAATCTTCATATTTGTGAAATCTACGAGTTAGAGCTCAAGGTGGTCTCGAAGGTGGTATGTCATATGCAAAGATTTAACAAAAACTTGAAATCTTAAATACTTCAATTCCCAGACCACCAAGACATCTCAGACCCCAAACTTCTAAGATCCACAAAGTGGGCTCCAATATGGATCTCAAGATAGTCTCGACAGTGGTGCTTAATGTGCAACGTAAATAACATTAAAACTCTCACTGAAATGAAATCCAACATAGAAGATTTAACAAAAACTCGTAATCTTAAATACTTAAATTCCCAGACTACCAAGACACCTCAGACCCCAGATTTCTAAGATCCACAAAGTGGACCTCGAGGTGGTATCAGTATGGTGCTCGGTATGTAACCAATGTATGTAACTCTACAACGTTTACTAAAATAAAAGAAAAACTCACCGATCACGTCCAGAAAGACGATATGGCTGATAGGCGACGCGGTGGACACCTGGCATTCGTAGCAGCCGCTGTCCCGAATCTGCGGATACTTGATCTGTAGCGTCCAGTCGTTCGTGTGCTCATTGTGGACCACTCGAAATCGTTGGTCGTTCGTGTACGTGTAACGACCGACGGTGAGCAGATGAGTGTCCCGGTGTCGTATCCAGGACACTTGTAACGTGACCTGCAATGGGAAAGATGAGAGAACGTGACACCGGTTAATCGAATAATTAAATCGGATATGAACCTCCCCGCGCGGTTCGTTCGTGACGAATTTAAGGGGAGAGGGAAACACGATAACGCGGAAGGATTTAAATGGGTTTCACGGGTGAGTCTGCGAGACTCCCAGGGCAGATTCTTTTGTTCCTCGTTAAGGGTTTTCCATTAAGCAGGACCGCGTAATTAGAAGTAGCTTGTTTCTGCGTTGTGCTGGCAATTAGCGAAACGCCGGGTACGACATTTACCGAGGGTATTCGCGACCCCCCACCTCATCCATGGTTTCGAGTTTCGCGCCTTTCTTTGTCCACCTTTCATCGCTTTTTTGTCGCTGAATTTCCCTACGTGGTTCTTTCGGCTGGTGGAAAATGTTTCCAGTTCGACTACAGAATTCACGTGCCATAAAGAAACTTTTAGAGATCGTAGCTGACGCTGCTGATTGATACATGATACACGTGATGCGTAAGGCAAGAATCTGCGAGTAAAGGTAGAAATATACAAGGGTGATTCTGATAAGTGTCCCACATAAATTGCGTTTGAACTGTTTGTTATACGAAAAATGTTTCGAACTAAAGTTGTACGGTATCGAAAGGGCTATACGATGTAACAATGAATAACATGAACAAAAAGAAACCGTGTGTTAATATCGACACCCTGTAAAATTTTAAAAAAACCTCAGCCACAAGGACGATTGACAGAATAATTTCAAGAAGTAGGGACCGATCGCCAAGAAAGGCGACATGAAACGATCACCTGAGTGGACGGTAATTTTAACAGCTTAAAGGACGCTCGTTCAACAGCACCCCGTCGACGAGTGGCTTGAAAAAAAATGTACGGCTGAAAGTTAATAACGTTCCGTATTTATGCTAACAGAGCAGGCGCGAATTTTTAAGCGAATGCTGGCACTCACCACGCTTTGGCAGCGTCCGTTGGTGCCGCGCCGCTTGTAATCCTCCATTAAAAATTAATTGAAACGCGTTCCATAATGCACGAGATTTGAATTTTCATACGCGGCGCGCTGCAAATTTCAAGGGTATACAGACGTTCCTCGGTCCCCCTCACCCTTCTCCATTCCCTCACACCGTCGTGGCAGTTTCGCGTCGTTCCCGTCGTAGTGGAAAATTAATAGAGCCGCTTTGCATATCGTCGGAAAGTTAGCGCGCAAGATAAAACGGCTCGGGACGCGATAATTGGACGTACCCACCGGGAGAGTCGGCGACGTGTAAATATTTGCTGCCTTTTGTAACCGGCTGACACGCATGTACCCGTGGAAAATGTCGAGACACCGCCTCAATGCTTAACAATTTTGTGGCGGCGCGTTCTCTGGATCGTGAAGAACGCAAAATTAGGAGGAAAGCGTGATCTCCTCGTCAAGTTTATTCCTTTCTTAAAGTGCTATTAAAAACTTAAAAAACGCGGTTAATTTTATAGTTGTGAATTCATGCGCCAGTGTATTTCCTCATATTATGAATGTTAGTCGACTGGTAGACGCGCTGTTGTGTAGGCGTGCTACTTATCAAGACATCTAATTGCCGAAACGTAGGACCTGTTATTTGTGTCCTACAAAAACAGAAAGAAAAGCATCGCATGGTTGCACAACTTGTATTAAATCTGTGTGCTCACAACGATCGAAACATATTTGCAAGGAATGCATATGAAATTTTCAGCTTTACCATTTTTGTACCAGTATTCCCGAAGTTAAAATAAATAACGCAAATGACAACTAGATAGAAAATCAATTTACTTCCAGAGGAGTATTGCGCTGTAATGGGATTCAATTGTTTTGTTAATTTCTCGTATTTTTCTTCTTCTGAAACGCTCTTTCGCATCGACGATCGTAAATCATACGGTTGAAAATCAAATTGTACAAAAGAAGAGGACGACGCAGTGCCCTTTGCAGAACGGCCGCCGTTGGATCCAAACGGAAATGTGGAACTCCGTGAATTTCGAATAACCATTACGATTTTATTACCACCGCGGGGAAAATAGAGATAGGAATAAACGTTAATATAGCCGCGCGAGCCCGTCATTGCGAGTGTACAATCGGTCCTTTACGATCGTCGTTTTCCATATTCATTCGACCCTGGCCGATTAATTACGTCGCGCATTTGTTCACGGCTTGAACAAGAAAGGAACAAAAAGAAAGGCACTTCCACCAAATAAACGCGTCAATACGGAGGAGTTAAAATAAATATTTTGACACTACAGTTGACCGCTGAAGGGTAAACATTTCTTCGTTTTTTTTTTTTCAATTATCGCCGATAACCAATCGGATTTTCCGCCATTTCGGCGGCTTCTGACCGAGTCGAACTGTATACATCGATTTCAATCCGAGAAATATCGCATGTTTGTGCGTTCCAATATGGTAGAGAAAGCGTTCAACCAATACCGGTTGAACAGGAAACAATGAAAAATACTTTCACGACTTTCGGAAAATATTTTATCGATATATTTGAAACTGGTTGTAATGCTTGTCAATTTTTTATTTGGATTATTTATCCTAGCAATGGAAGAAAACCAAACATTTCTATTCCTGTACTTCGTTCAATAGCGTTTTGTAATTCTGTCACGAGTTTGTTGTAAGAAGATGTTAAAAAATTCATCGGTATACTTTGTGAATTTTTTCTGGGAATACAATACAATTATCTGGAAATGAACAGTCGAAAAATAACAGAACCTCCCCCTTTCATTCTCTCTCTCGCCCTGATATCGAATTCTAGAGCGTTTACCCTCGTCTGGAGTAAGGCCTTGTTCCCGCGGATCCGCCGACGTGGCAGCGATCGTTTTCACCCGGTATCCATCCCGGTTCTTCGCCGTATCGACGACGTCGCCCGCCGCCACGATCCTTATCTCGTTTCCCCGCCGAATTTTCCGGGGGCACGAATAGAGCGAGTTGTCGTCGCTGAAATTCGAGACGTTTCATGAGGATGTTCCGTTGTTCGTCGGCCGAGCGATATCCGAGACGATAAGGCTACTGGACGGACAGATAAGGGAGTGGATGAGAGAGGCGTTCTCTGGAAGGAAACGGTAAGTGGAAGAAGTCGGGGGGGGGGGGGGGATGACACCGGCTGGCCCGTAACTGTCTCATACTACTGCGGACAGCTCCCCTTTCCCTTCGTAGCAAGAGTACCGTATGTTTATTGCACGCAGAAATGTACTGGGTGTACAGGGTAAACGCACCAACGAACGAACAGTTAAAAGATTTTCTAACTATTAAAGTCGAATTTTAAACGATAACGATATTAATAAATATTTGGCGCATGAACAACTAGATTTTCTAATATCTGTATCTTTTTATGACGTATAGTTTTCAGTTTGAGAAATTGGAAAAATTTAATTATCGAATGAAGAGAGATACAAATTTCACGGTAAATGTAGGGCACGACACTGTCAGCACGTACACGACGTCGACTAAAGAAAAAAAAAGTTCCACGTCGTGGCGAAAAAAGGGATGCGTGATACCTATCCTCGATTTTCTTGCGATATTTTATTTAAAAAAAGCACTTACGAATCGTTGCATGACACTGAATCCGATTACTTGTTCAAATCCACCACGGAAATCGCAGCACACACTCACGAAAAATAAACATAAAGTAAACTAATTTTAACTAAAGGCAAAATCGTTATAATAAATAAATTAATTTAATATTATAAGAAAATTCGAGAGCTATCTCACGTTAGATGTGTTCGCGTTGACGACTGCCACTGAACTAAGGAAACGTTCGCTTGCATCCCATGCAAAGGACTGGCAGGTAATAAAAATATGTAAACAGTGCTCGCGAATGACTTCCAAATGTTGTGATCGCAAGTACGATTGAAGAAGTATTCGAACAGAGGGGCAATGAATATTCAGGCTGAGGATTGTTCACTGATATTGAGAAACTCTTATTTTCATCCTTGAATGTTAATTTCGATTATTTTTATCGAATCTTTCTACAGCAAATGGCAGAACACAGTTGTTCTTTCTATACGTTGTTATTTATAATATTTTCACGATCTATTCTCCGTCGAATACTGTAGGAAATTAAATAGAGATTTCCAGTATATATATATTGTTTAATAAAATAAAATAATAGTGTAGTCAAAATATTCGAAACACACAAATGCTCGTTACCGCTGCGAATATTTCGCGTTGGTTTGTGGGAGCCTTAAAACAGTTGTTTTCGTAACAATTGCTTCGTACTCACCGTAGTTCTTAGCGAGACAAACGACCTTGAACGAACGATTAAATTTACCGAAACTTCCGCAACTTTACAGAGACACTTACCAACCTCATCACTTTCCCTCCCATTCTCTTCTTACCGTGTCGTCTTGCTTGTTTCGCGACTGTCACAGCCTTCGCTGCCGCCCCATCCTCCTATCGTCGCCTCCGTCACAATACACCTTACCCCATGAATATCGTGCCATCAAGATCCTTCGCGCGTTCCGCTCGGCGCGCGCACGTCATCGCGGCTGTATGACGACGAAGCTCGTATAATTTATGATACACGGCCGACGTAAGCTCACCCCCTCCCCCGCCCCTCTACCCATATAGTTGACCCGCCATAGGGTTCCGGGTGTCGCGTACACCCCGGATCCGCCTGGTAACATCTCCAACACCCCGCCACGGTCGTCCCCTTTGCATACCAATATTGTGGTTCTATGGAAACGATTTACGGCCGACGACGGCCTGCTCGCCGACTTTACGAGTGTCGAACATCAGAGCAGACATAATATTCCTGGGGTGGAGGGTAAAGTGGCCGTGTTTAGTCTTTAACGGGTCTATCGGACCCAAAAACGCGTCGGGACGTCGAGTCGTAATTTCCTGTTTTCATAGAGCAATTTAGGGAAGTACTATGGGACTACGCAAGAAGCTTGATTTTATTGCTAAGAATTTGATCAGGTAATCACGAATGTTTTTTTCGGTTTTCAGATTTGGTCAGTATTACACTGTGTACATGTATACACTCGTACGATTGAAATTACGAT